ATCATATATATCCAAGAGGATTCCTGAGAAAAAATCTCGTTCTGTTCTTGCTGCACATATTTCGCTATCTTCTTTGCATGAATTTTTTATGAGGGAAGACGTTAACTTTTTAAATGGACCTTTCAAAATCTGAAAATTATTAATTCTTCGTTCTTCTTTAGTCGAACTTACCGATAGACTTGCTCTCACCACAGAGGTACATGTTTTGCACTTGAAATAATTCTGCTCTGCTGCAGCCTGGCTGCTGAAATTAAACAAAAAAATTTATTAAAAAAAAAGGATTAACTTACCGATGGTCACAATCTTTCCGGACTGAACAGATCCATGGAAAATCAGGATAGTGTTCATCAGGGAGAATGTCCGTTGCTAAGTCTAGTACGAGACTTATAAAGTCATTTCCTTGGTTATAGCAGGCATCTGAGTCTTCACTGAGCTCGCAGAGAAACGCTAATATTAATTTGCTTGTGCCAGCTGCTGAAACGATTCCCTAGAAGAGTACAACACTATAAAACACTTAATCTTAGAAAAAAACTTACTGCATTCAGAACGCTCACTTGTCTCGTACAGGACGTACAGTTTGCGTAGGTCCTGAACAGGCAAAAATTATTATTTTCTTGGGGTTCCACTTACTTCGTTTCTACCGAAACTCTAGCTACATGGTTCAAAACTAACAGAATGAGCCCGAGCTGCTGAACTTTCATACCTGAATGAAACTACATACAAAAAAACCATATAGTAAATAACATATCGAAAGCAACAGAGAATTAGAATAAGAGTATACAAACCACCCCTTCAAATTTTTTGTTTGAAGATTTCCCGGAATTTTAAAAAAGACCGGGAAACAAAAATCGATTCATGATATGAAATATTACGAGAACTCTGAGTAATTTGAAGAAAAAGATAATAAAAAAGGTTTTAAGAGCAATATTCCTGTTGTTTTAAAAACAGTTTTCGAAACTTTGCATTCTGAGCAATATAAGCTCCCCCGTAGTATTTCTTTCAAATTAACAAAAAAATAGTTTATTTTCTATTGTCAGACAACCCTTAAATCCTTCATATTGATTTGTAGTATTGCACAGGAATACTGAATTTCTCAACAAAAATTTTACAACGCAATCCATGGAACAGTTCTCAATTGAAGAATGAATTATTTGTGATTGTAATTGTAAACAGTAT